ATTCCTGGGATAGGCCTGGTTGCTGGGATGTCTCCTGGCATCTCCTATCTGAGCAGAGGTCCAGAGATCCACACCTAACACTCCTAACCCAGAGCATTCTGGGTCACAGCCAGCCCAAAAAACTGAAGTGGGAGGAGAAAAAAAAAAAACACCTTGATGCCATTTCAAGTTGGTTTTGTTCAGAATTTCAGAAAGCTGGGTTGAGGGGGGGATTTTTGTTTGCCTTGGAAGGAATAAGAGAGCTCAACACAAAAGCATTTCCTTGCTGCCAGCCCAGGACTGTTATAAAAACACGGCTCGTGTTTTCCCTTTCCAGCTGGTCCCACAGGTCCCAACCAACAGATTACTTTGACAATCCAAATCAGCATTTTTTTTTGGTCCATTTTTTCTCCATTCCATGAAGACAAAAAATGCCCACTTTTTAACTGTAACTCCTCTGGGCATTCCCAACCTGGGGTTATGAAAAATCCCCAAAATACTTAAATGTAACACAAATACATAAATATCATTTCTAGGTGCAAGTCATTCCAGGGTAATTAAAGAATTGCTGGTATTATTAGGATGTATAGGAAGTCAGGGCTCCCGCCCCAGGGAAGAACTTCTTTTGTCAAGACCGTGGTGCCTTTTAATTTGCAAAAATAAAGCTAAAAAACCCTTTCCCGGTGGCTTTACTATATTTTTCTCCCCAGTAAATATTTGAATATCCCTGTTTACAAACAGTTCCATGGACAGGAAACCCCCCTCCCATCGCTTTTTAGTGAGATCCCCATCTGCAAAACTTATGCCAGTATTTTTACCCACAGCTCTGGCGAGAGAGACGCTTCTGGCCAGTTAAAAACACATTGTGCTTCTTTTATTTTTAATAAATACGTCACGCTCTTCAAATTTCCTTCTCAGCCCGATGTTTTGAAAATCAGTAACTTAAGAAGGGGTTTGTTTCTTGGCTGAGCAAGCCCAGAAACCCCCGCCTCGCTCGATAATCAAATCCAAGTCCTCTCGTGGAGAGCAGAATTCCTGCTGGAGGGCACGTGGAGCTTAAAAATAAAACAGAATTCAATTAAAAAAAAAAAAAAATTTAAAAATCGGCCCGACGAGCGAACCGGTTAAAAAACTGTTGCTCCCGAGGCTAAAGGAGGAAACATGGGGTGTGTGTGTGTGTGTGTGACATCAGCAGAGGCTGTTTGTGCAGATTCCGAGGGTTGGGATGAGGGACAATGGGGTTGGAGGGGGGGGACACCTGCGCCAGCAGCCCACGGAGAAGAATAGGAGGAACTGGGCTTCCTCTGGAGACATCTCCGAGGCCACGGAGCACAGGACAGCCTGGCAGCACTTTAATCTGTGACATTTGGGGGAGATTTGGGCAACGGGGTTGTCCCCTGCTCGTGCCCAAACGTGCCCTGCTGGTTGTTAAGGGTTTTATCGGGTGCTTTTAAAAGCCATCAGGGCTGAACGGGGCATTTCCCAGTGGGATATTTGGGAAGGGGGATGCCCCCTGGCCAGTTTTGGGAGCAGCCTTGCTGAGAAGCAGGAATTAGCAGGGCTGCAGACGGAATAAAATGCCAAATGGCAGGAACAGGACGCTGTTCTCTTTAGTCTGTCATGGTTATTGTGGGGGGAAATGCAGCGTGGCCACCACGGGCTTGGGGCCACTTTATTCCTTAGGCAATCCCTGTCCTTGGAGGAAAGGTATGAGTCGTGGAGGAAAACTGTGACTCATATTATATATATATATATATAAATGGAAGGGCCTTGGAATGGGATGATCCTCAGGGTCCTTTCCAACCCAATCCATTCTATGATTTTATTTTTTTTTTGGGGTAGAGTGAGTGAACACCCACCTGGACAGAAGGAAATAGGGAGTGAGGAAAGGAAGGAGCAGTGCCCACCCCATACCTCCCATCCCTTCCAGGTCTCTGACTCCCTTTCACAGGAGGAGGGGGCTGCTCTGCTCCAGGTCTGGCACTGTGTGTTTAAGGACCCTCCCTGCAGCTTTATCAGCTTTTGGTGTCAGTGCTTCTCCAGCACTGGAGCAGCTCCCGGGCTAAAGCTGGGGGGGGATGTTCAAAACAACCTCCTTATCAAACCCAGGAATTCCATATCTCTCCCAGATTAAACCCAAGCTGTGTGTGGACCTTTGCTGGTGTTTGGGGTCCCTGCCAGGTGGGAGGGAGCTGCTCCCGCTGCTCTGAGTGGCTCCCACGAGGGTGATGCTGGAAGTCAAGTAAGGACACGGTCCCTGCCTTTGCCCCAGCTCTCTGTGTCCCCAAATCCACCTGGGTTTTATCCCCTCTCTCCAGCCCATTTCCCAGGAATTCCAAACATTGTCCCTTCCTTTCCATTTGAATGCAGTCACTGGGAATTCAGGGAGGAGAAATCCCTCTGAACACCAGCAGACACACCCCGAGGGTGCTTTTACATCCCTTTGGGAATGTTAGGCCTCTCACAGTGACCTGGGAGCAGCAGCAGGGCCACCTGGAAAACTGGGAAATGACGACAAAATAAAGCTGGCTCTTTGTCTGCATGGATTTGTTGGCACAAGAGGAGGGAAAGCTCCTCAGATCCTTATGGGAACAGGACAATCATCCTGGGAAGCCTCCCGGGAAGGAAATCCTCACCTCAAGGGATGTTTTGTCTCTCACTTTGTTGTTAGAGTGGGGGTTTATTATTATTATTATTATTTAAATAATCCTAATAGTATTTCATTGAAAAAATTATTTATTATTATCACTGTTTAAATATAAATAATACAGTGCCCTGAACCTGCTGACGGGGTTGTACTGGGTGGTCTGGTGTGTTGGGAACGTGGTGTGGAACAACCTCTCCTTGCAGATGGAGTGCATTTAGGAAACCCAGGGAATTAAATGAGCTGCTGTCCCTCCTCCCACTGTTGGGATGAGGGATATTCTCCAACGAGCAGTTCTGGAGG